CCTAGCCACTCTCTACTGTGCTTTAGACTAGACAGTGTGTTCTTTGAGGAGAGTAACCATACTCACCCTGTACCCCTAATTTCTACAAGTTACAGATACATGTTATAGGCACTGAGTAAAGATGTGTTGAATAAATGAATGATGGAATCAATAAATAATCAGTCGATGTGTAGATGTCTCATTGCATAGACAATGTAAGAAGGCATGAAGAGTTTCTATGTCCTAACAGAAAGAAGCCCACTGAGCTCAGTCCCTTTATTTCTAGTGTTACTTAGACTCATAATTGTTGATTCACTGATTTGAACCTTCTATCTCTCAGGCTTTCTGAAAATCAAGAAATCATTTTAAATGATTCATAACCAACTCATGCATCAGTAAACATTTAGAGAGGACAATAAGTTAATACGTTTTTAGAGAAATATTAGACTAACACTGATTTATGATTAGCAAATTAACCAAAATGCAATTAAATATATTAATATAATACAAGATGGTAAGATGGTAAGATGTTGAGAAGTTGACTTGATTTTGAAAGGCAAGCAAATTTCCACTCAGGACACAGTGTTTTTCTGAGTTTTTATTTACCCTCTTTTACCCAAAAGCATTTATTGAACATTTACTGAATTAAGCTAGAATTCCAGGCTTGGAAGACAAGGATGAAGATGCCCTGGCCCTGCCCCAGAGGCAGTCACCATTGAGTGGGGAAATCACAAACCTGTACAACCAATGGTAACACAAATCAGGATGTGGTAAATGCTGTAGACACCAGTGGGTGTGCATTAGGTTTCCCAACACACATTATCTCTCTGTGTATATATTTCTTATATTTCATGTGTATAAAGCCCTGTACTATTCAGTACAGCAGAGTTCCAAAAATAGCACTTTTCACAGATTTTTTTAAAAATTCATAGAGTGAAATTTAATAGTTCTGCCCTTCTTTATTTAATTGAGAAAAGCAGGCGACGAAGGCTTACCTATTTCTCAGGAGGATCAAGAGCTTTTGCACTTTCAATTCCCTGTCAGTCTATATTTTTGTAAAGGATTCATACAAGTGCAAACTAAAGATTATTTTTTCATCGTCTAAGACAAATTTCTCTCCAGAATATTACAAGAAACGTCTTGCCTGCAAAAGCTGCTTGATCTTTTTTAAAGAAAAAAGCAACGAAATTAATAGGAGTAGCTCAATGAATCCCATGTTCTTCAAATAATTCAACTAAGAAAAAAAGGTTAATACTACTACAGATAATGTACATATTTACTGTTGATAAATAACTACCTGGGCAATTTTATTTTCTATATTTTCTGTGATTTCTTACTGATAACAGTGAAAAAATTATAAATATGATATAATTTTTTAAAGCCACAGATTAAGACTCAAGAGACCTGAATTCTGGATACACTTGATCACTAATTGTTGATAAGTTACTTAAAGGTCTTTGTGTATTGTCTGTGTGGCAAGAAGTTGGGAGCAACCTAACTCTGCTGGAGATGGTGTTAAACACCACTGCATACCAAGGATCCATGAGATATCTCATGAAATGAGAAGCTTCCAAAGCACATAGTTTGAAAGTAAACCCAAGTAGATAATTCTGCCTCTAAAAATACAGTATTTTATTTAAATTACTAGAATACTAAATGAGGCTCAGAGCTACAGGAAAGAAAAAAAATAAACATTATCATCAAATAAAAATTCTACCCTGGGCTTCCCTGGTGGGGCAGTGGTTGGGAGTCCGCCTGCCGATGCAGAGGACACGGGTTCATGGCCCGGTCCGGGAAGATCCCACGGATTGGCTGGGCCCGTGAGCCATGGCCGCTGAGCCTGCGCGTCCGGAGCCTGTGCTCCGCAACGGGAGAGGCCACAACAGTGAGAGGTCCGCGTACCGAAAAAAAAAAAAATTCTACCCGGAAAGTAAATAAAGCACTCTGAGTCACAACTAGAAATATTCTGCTTGCTATGATATTTTTAAGATACAGAATATGCATGTATATTTTCTAGATATCAAAAGCTCATAGTAAGCAAAAAAATCAGAGTCATTAAGAAAGTTCATGCTTCACTTCTCTTTATTCCTTTGCTTTAAAAGAACTCTTCCTAGAAATAGACATTCTGCATCTGTACCCAAATTTTGGGAGCTGATTTAAAAATAACTTCAACCTACAAAAAAACTCTTTGGATTAAAAGTAATAGCTGAAGTTTTAAGGCTTTTTTATTGATAATTTTTGAAATTCAGACTTAATCTTGAAATATGTAAAAAATAAACTTTTTTGTTTGTTTGTGGTTTGTTTCTTAAGTACTAATGCCCATGGTAAATGGCTAGGATCATGGACACTAAGGAAATGGCTCACAGTCATACAGCTTGCAAATGGTAGGCCCAGATATTTTAACCAGAAATTCAGGTCTGCTCATTTTTCACCAGGGCACTACCACAGTTGCAATTGATTGCATTAACCAAACATATATCATTCATTCATTAAGCAAATATTTGGTGCGAGCCCACACTATGCCAGATACTATTCTTAGTGCTACAGTACAGCAGTGTGCAAAAGAGACAAAATCCCAACCATGTGCTGCTAATTGTTCAACAAATGGCTGGGGGTGAGAGAGAGGAGAGAACTTATCAGCAGTAATTGTTTATTTACACAATGTACATATTCCTATCATGACAAAGTTCAATCTACCAACTTGACATCATTGAACTTAAAGCTGAGAAGGGATGTGCACAATCAACTCTTGTGAGCCTATGTGAGCTCACAGCACACCACTGAAAAACAATCCCTGCCCAACTGAAAAATGCATTCTAGCAGAGAGAGAGAAGCAACGTGCTAGTTACATATATAGTGTATCAGATACCAAAAAGTGTTATGGAGGGAAAAAAATAGAAAGACAGGGAAGTTGGGTAGTCGGTGTGGGGTAGGCAGTGTAGATTAGGAAGGGGCAATTTTAAATAGGATAGGCAGGAAAGACTCCCTTAAAAATGACATTTGAGCCAAGTCCTGAAGGTGGTGAAGGCGTGAGCCAAGTGGATAATAAAGGAAGAACATTTGAAGGAGGGGTGTCTGGGTGGCTACATGGCAAAGGCTTGTGTATTTATTTTAAGAACTTTTACCATAAGTGAGATGGGAAGACATCTCACTTGACTGGAAGGTTTTTTTGCTTTGCTTTTTTTTGTTTTTAACCAAGGAGTGACATGATCTCACTTATATTTTTCAAATATCACTCTTGCTGATGTTTTGAGAGTAAACCATTTGGGGGTGAGCAAAAGTGGAAGCTCTTACAATAATCCAGGTTTGGATCAGAATGGTGCTGGAGAAAATGGTGAGAAGTAGTGAGATTCCAGATATATTTTTAAAGTAGCGCCAACAGAATTTGCTGACAGATTGGATGTAAATTATTGTCCAAAAGATGATTCTGAAGATTTTGCTCTAAGCAACTGGAAAGATGGATTTAGCATTTACTGAATTAGAGCAGAGCAATTTTAGAGGAAAGATCAAGGGTTTGGTTTGGTATATGTATCATTTGCTATGCCTATTAGCCATCTGAGCTGAGATATAGAACAAGCAATTGGGTTTATGAGTCTGGTTTCGGGGAGAGGTTTGTGTTGGAGATATAACTGGGGAGTATTCAAGATACTGATAATATTTAAAACACTAGGACTCAATGGGAGCACCAGAAGAGTGAATGTAAATATATTTAAGATTTAGTTAGCTATTTAACAAAAATATATTCCAGCACTGTACTCAGTTCTATGCAAGTATTAGCTCACTTAATTCTCATAAACCTAGAAGGTAGGTACTATTACTTTTTTCCCTTTTTACAAATAAACTGAAGTACAGCAAGGTTAACTAACTTGCCCAAGCTCACAAGTAAATGGCTAATCAGTGGCAGATTTGGAATTTCTAAACCAAGATGTCCAGATCCAGAGTTCTAGTTAGAGAAGAGAAGTTATCTGAAAGTCTGAGGCTTTTGGCACTGCAAGAATTTACAGGTCAGGGAGATGAAACAGACAGTAAATCCCATTCATAGCACGTAACACATTTTACTTTTCCATAGAAATTCTAACTACGCTCAGGGAGAATAGATTTACCAATGTTTTGTTTCCCTTTGTATTTTTATATATTTTCTATAATCAGTACATGTTACTTCTAGAATCAGAAAATATTGTATTAAAATAATAGAAGCTGCAGAGTTTTTCTTTAAACCTGTTTCAAGGGATGCATGTCATTCTCTGTTTTCAGCCCATCGTGATGATAACATGCAATGAAAATCATTACAGAAAAAAACAGAAGTGCTCTCTGCTTGGGGTATGAATAGAGTTACCATGAAATTTACTGGCCAAATAAAAATTCCTGAGAGTAAAAATGAGCACTATTAATTATGCCATGACAACAGGCTTAAGTTAGAACTACCTAAACATACTTAGAGTAGGTACAGGTGCCCCAGCTGGGCTCTTTCTTAAGAATATCACTTGTATGAACACAGGAGTGCAGACTCTTATCTGGTCCATGCACAACATATTCTCACTAGTGTTCACTGTAGGTTAAAGATACCTTTATTAGTCATTATTGTTGTTTTATCTTTGTTATCAACTACTGGTTAGAACTGAACATCAGAAAACAAACTGAGCACTACCTACATATTATTATATTTCAGTACTAGAGGTACTCTACTTGGGGCTCATCAGTTCTTGGATGAAAAATAATATCATAGACTTTAGCTAGTTTGATGAATAAAACCACATTTTAAGGATTTGAAAAAGACATATTAATGATGTTAAATCTAGTAAGAAATCACTTTATGCAGTGATCAAGTACTATATTTATAAACATTAAAAAGAATTATCTTCATTCCTATTCTAACATAAATGAACTGGGGGGAAAAAAAAGCATCTAGGTACCAGCTTCTACTTCCTAAGCTACTTTTAACATTACATAAACATTAACTTTAGTGTGGAACATTTGCAAGATGGGATGGCAAAATTGAAATACAAGTGAATATACTGTACCTTGTTTTACCTGTAAGGAACACACACCTGACAAAAGGCAATTTTCACATCCAAGGTTGGTTCACTGCAGTAGTACAATAAATGGAGGCTCATAAATACCTATAGAAAAAAATGGGGGCATGAATTTCCAAATCACCTAATTATTCATTATTGAATAGTATAAACTTCAGCATAATTTGAATTATACACAAGGTTTCAGGCACTACATATATTCAGCATAATCCTTGTCCAGACCAGTACTAGGTGCTTTTCACAAATTGTAAATATTAAATAATAAAATAAGGTTTAAAAATGTCCTATCTTCTATAATGATCAATGTCATCACAATCATAAAGACCAGATATAAGAAACTGGATATACCTAATGTGTTAAAGTTAAGTACATCCTATTATAGAACACTTTCAGTTCTAGGCAACTAATTTTTAAAAATTCTCAAATACATGCTCAAGAGGATATATATATAATAAGAATATTTGTTGTAGAATAAAGGGACTATTAAATAAAATTTAATTTATAATAAAATTACAGACAGGACTTGGAATAATTGAATCAAAGCTTAGGGTATCACCATGGAAAATATTTCAAACATGATGTTGAGTGGGGAAAAAAATAAACTTTCAAAAAAGTATGAATATCACTGTATTATTAATGTAAAATTTTAAAGTACACAAAATAATATACATTGCTTTGTTATCTACCCATATAACCATAGATTAAAGAAAATAGGACACTACGTTAACATGTATTTAATCTTGGTGGTAAGTACAAAGATTTCAAGTATATTGCTTTCTGTATGTTTAAAATATTTTTTAATGTTGTAAAGTTTTAAGGAGAGGATAATAATCTAACAGTGGAAATGCCAAATTAGGTACTGGGTTATTTGGGAATGATGAGGCAGCATCAGAAAAACCCAACCAAAATCTTATTCAGTTCAATTAAACACACTTTGTTGAATATGTATTGTGTGCAAGATACAATTCTGTGAGATTAAACAATTTTAAAACCACTATTGACACAAGACTTCTGTTTCTGGCAATATGAATGATTAGATATCTTGAAAACCACTTTCAGTGCAAAACTTCTAGAAAGGTTAGGTGAAATAGACAAAATGCCTTTTAAAATGAATAGCTGAGCTGCCCAAAAAAAGGCAAGAAAAATTCTGAAAGGCTGAAAACAATGTGAAAGGATCCATGCAGAGAAATAAATGAGCTGAAACTGTCACTTGTCCTCAGACCATCTGCTGATGTCTGAAGATCAGAAATTTAGCTTTTAAAGGGCAGCATGCAGAGTACAGGAACCAAAGCTTGGAAGCTATCTATGGTGGGAAGTTACAACAGAGACACCTGCATAAAGTTTACTATAGAAAGTTTTAAACAAAATTCTGGAGCAAGCAAAACAATCCCAGAAGGAAGGTCTGAATTGCAAGAAAAAATATTTTACATTGGAACCTGTGTAGATTTTTTAAATACAAGGAAGAATGAAAGGACTAGACTGTGTGAGACATTTCTGAAGAAGAATAAGGTGGGTATTTGTGGAGGTTGGGGAGGGAGTTGCTCTACCAGAGATCAGGATTTATTATAAAGTTGTAGTAAGTAAGGTACGCAGGGTGGATACAGAGGTAGACTACTGATTAATAGAACAGAGAGCCCAGAAACAGACACATACATATATGGAAACTGATTATGCTAAATTATGTTAATATAGACATTTAAACCTGACTATATTAAAGATATCTGGGGAAAGGAGAGACTATGCATTAAACCAAGCTGAGACAATTGGTCATAAATATTGGGGCAAGGGGAGGGAGGAATTGTCCTTGTTAGAGACAATTCTCTATCGGCTTCTCATATTTCTGCATGTCTTACAGGCAGAGGCACTGGCTGCCTTTATTCCAGACTATCTTCTCAAGCATGGTTATAGAGCAAACATATCTCCTTCTGGAGCATAAGGCAGGTTTGATTGCTCTCCAGTATAATATAGGTAAGGTGGCCCTCTGGGGCAAAGGTCAGGCATGCTAACCATCCACCATAAGAGATTTGGGTTCCCTAAGCTTGGGGTTCCTCTTCAATAGCACCACTCACTGTATGTGCAGTAGTCACCTGACCTTCTTTGAGTTGTTCTGTGGGAAATGAGCCTGAGAAACTGGCATGAATTCTGACACTCTAGCTCCTGTTATTAACGTGAGTAGTAAAGAACTTTGATCTGACCCAGGAATCGCTTATCTTCTGCCAGCATTCATGAAACTGTGGCAAGCTACCTTGTTAGCTTGCAAGTAGGGTAACAGCTAAAACTCTTCAAAGTTCTTGACAACCTCTACCTCATATTGCATACAAAACACAATTCCAGACGTATTAAAATTTTCAGGAAAGGCCAAACTTTAAATAATATAGAAGGAAATGTAGTTGAATGTCTGAGGAATACATCATAAATAATATGTAAATATGCTAAGTTAAAAAGGAAACTATTGATAAAATAGACTATTTAAAATGAATCATTTCTGTTTATGAAAAAATGTGATAAAGAAGTAGTCCATAAATTTAGAAAAAATATTTGAAACACATATAACCAGAGGAAGATTTATCCAGAATCTATAAATAGCTCCTAAAATATAAGAGGAAAAAGATAAAGAACCCAACAGAAGAATGGGCAAACAATATGGAATACATTTTCTTAAAAAAAGAAATATAAAAAGGCTCATAAATATATGTGTAATTTAAAGCCACATTGAGATACTGTTTTGTACCTATCATATTAATAAAAGCTGAAAAGTATGATAATATTCAGTTTTTGCAAAGCGGTTGATCAGATGGGAATATTTATACACTGTTGATAATTTTGACAGTTGGAACAACCAAATTTAGGGGGAAAATAGCATTATACAGTAAACTTCTGCATAGCCTAACACCCACCAATTCTACTTCTACACATATTTCCAGAGAAACTCTTGTGTTTTACTACCAAGATATATATAAAAGGCAGTTCATTAGAATACTTTTGTAATAGTAAAATAAATAATAAAAATTAATACTGGAAAAAGATAATCACAGAAAGACCAATGAATAAATAAACTATGGTACATTCATTTAGTGGAATACCATATGGTAATGAAATGGTTGTATAAAGAAATAAATATCAACGTGCCAAATATAAACATGGTAAATGAATGAAAAGAAGTCATGGGTAACTTTACTTACGAAAGTTACAAAATATACACAACTAAACAATATATTATTTAAGAATGTCTTTTTACTATGATAAAACTATAAAGAAAAGCAAAAGAATAAAAAATGCAAAATTCAAGAGATTGGCTATCTCCTAGGGAGGGGAAGAACACCCCTAGATAGGGGCATGCAGGAGTTTTCAATGGTATTCGTTATGACTACTTTGAGCTGAGTAGTGATGTCATGCAACATTATTTCACTATTATTCTTTAAACCCTACAGGTATAAAATATAGGCTATTTGATATGTCTGTGATATTTTATAATAGAAAAAGGTTCATGTGACACAAGGAACAAGGTCCTTCATTCTCTTGCTAGGCATTGTTATCTCTTCATGGATGTCTGGAACAAAAACGCTTGTAAAGCCACTAATAGGAAATGATCTTAAGAAATGCTGAGCAGTGTAAAGCAGAACAATAGAAAGAACTCTGTGCTTGATGATACCATTAAACTACTGAATTAAGAAATTCTGGATTTTTCTAATTCTAGACTTTTTGTTATATGAGAAACTAAATCTGCTACAGGAAAAAAATGTTACTAAAATACAGTCATAAAATAAATAAAAAGTAAAACAAAACAACAAAAGAAAAAATTTACTCCTCAAATTTCAATCTGTGAGATTGTTTTATTGCATTTCCATGAGATTCATGCATAATTTTTGCCAGATAGTTACCTCCACTTCTTATTTTTAATTTTTTAAAAATTTAGTTTGCCCAGGTATAATTTATACACAGCAAAATGAACAGTTCTAAAGTGTGCAGATTGATGAGTTTTGACAAATGCATATATCCATGTAACTCACATTGTGATAAAGGTAAAGTCTGAAAATCCCCGTACCCTTTTCTTGACAATAGTCCCCACCCCCCATGCAACAATGTTCTAACTTCTTTCTCTATATAGATTAGTTTTTCTTGTCCTAGAACTTATATAAATGAAATAATACAGTATATACTCTTTTTCATTGGGTTTCTTTTAGAATTCATCCATGTTGGCAAAAGTATCAGTAGTTGTTCTTTTTTTCTGCTGAGTAAAATGTATCAGTTTATCTATTCTCTATTCTGCTTTTAGACATTTTAGGTGTTTCTATTTTTTGGATATCAATAATGCTGCACGAACATTTATATACATGTATTTTTGCACAAATATGTTTTCATTTCTTTTGGGAAAAATACCTAAAGAAGGAATTGTTGGATCGTGGGATAGGAATATATTTAACTTATTAAAAATTGTCAGACACATTTTCTACCCCCTGTAGCAATGCATAAAAATTCGGTTGCTTCACATCCTTGTCAACATTTTGGTGTTGTTATCAGTTTTCTAAATTTTAATCATTCTAGTGAGTGTTTAGTAGTATTTCATTATGGTTTTATTTTTTATTTCCCTGATGACTAATAGTGTTGAGAATGTTTCTCATGAGTTTATTGGCCATTTATTTATCTTACTCGGTAGAGTGACTTTTCAAGTATAATACTTTGCCCATTTGGTGGGACTGTGGGTGGCGGAAGTGAGTTGTTTGTCTTTTTATACAAATTGCAGAAATTCTCTATTTCAGATTAAAGTTTACTGTCAGTTACATGTATTATGAATATTTTCTTTCAGTCTGTAGCTTGCATACTCAGCTTATTGATGCTTTCTTTTAGTGAGTAATATTTAATTTTTATGAAATTTATTTTATGATTTATTTTTCTTTTATTATTAGTGCTTTCTTCATTTTCTCAAGGGATCTTTCCCAATCCAAGTTCATGAGGATATTCTTCCACATTTTCTTCATGAAGCTTTACATTGTTGATTTTACTTTTAGGTCTATGATACCTCTCCAATTAACTTTAATTCGTGGTGTGATGTATATGCTGAGGTTCACTTTTATTCCTTAATGATA